GGTCCTGCAGGCTGGAGGCATATCTGGGAGCATGGGGGTCATTGGTAGTCAAAAGAAAATCTGGGTTCGTATTCGGGAAGCACGCCACACCTCCGGTGTGATGCACAACACGCCAGAGAACTGTAGTTACTGTAGTGTAGGGGACTGCTCCATACATCATCATTTAAATCATGAGTATGCTTTTCAAAAAAGCGATTGCCACTGATTCTTATACCCTAACAGATAGCCACATGGAAAAATCAGTTGAGAGTTGCATGAGGGGTGTTTAAAGGCCCTGGAAATCACAGCCCCCACCATAGTTGCATTGTCCTTGCTGTGGAAACAGTTACTATATTGACTGAAAGTAAAAATTGTTACTGAAAAATGTCATTATCTACCAATGCTTGATGTGAAACTGGACCACAGATTAAGTTGCATATATTCTTTTCTTCTGGGAAATAAACAACTACTTACTTTTTTTTTTTTTTCCTATTTTAGGGTTACCTTGCATGAAAAGGAGAATTTTATGAATGCTGAAAACCTGGGAATAGTGTTTGGGCCTACTTTAATGAGACCTCCAGAGGACAGTACCCTTGCTACACTGAATGACATGCGGTACCAGAAGTTAATTGTGCAGATTTTAATAGAAAATGAAGATGTTCTCTTTTAGACAAAGAGAGGCATGTCTTCAAAGCCATTTGTTTTTAAAGAATTAGTTTGAAGGAAAAGCAACATTTCTTTAATTTTTTTTAAACATGAAGGAAAAGTTCCTTGACTGCACTTCAATTTCTGCAAAGTTGCAGATGGATGCCAAAATGTTTAGGGAAAGCCTATGTCTCATAGACATATGCCTCTTTGTAGAAGGGAAAAAAAAAAAAGGTCAGAAAAAATCCTCTTACCTTGTATCTTTTGCCTTGCCTCAGATGTATATTTGTTTTGAGAAGTTGCAAACAATTCTATTGTTAACTTATTAAGAAACACAAAACATATTTTAATATGGCTAGAGAAGCAAAAAGGTACTTAATCAGTGTTACTCGTATGCGCCTATACATTTCCCTTTCCATGAGACATAAGTATATATGTCAATTGTGAAACAGAACCTATATTATAAAGATATTTTTACTTTACCTAGCTGAAAGAATGGCATTTTATTTTAGCAAACTATAAATCAATGCGGTGCATTGATTATTTTCCACGTAATCCTTTCCTGCATTTTTGCTATGATATATTGAAAACAATTACCACTAATGCAGTATTATCCTGACATACCTCTTTCATTGCAAGTGTTTTAAAGGAGAAGTTTTTTCTTGTGTGTATTCCAGCTTTCCTTAGGTTTCTTTGCATTTAAGCAGTAGCATCCTAAGATTGTACACTTTTACCCATGTGCTATTTCCCTATTTCCTTTTTTTTTTTTTTTTTTTATTTTTACTACCATGTAAAATATGGTATTGAGAATTTTTCAAAAGTCCTGGTGGTAGTATCAGTTTCACATGCCAGATTTTTCTTGGATTACAGTAATATATAAGTTAAGTGATGCTGGGACACTGGATATTTTCTGGCCTTGTTGAAAAGTTAGCACTTTTGGGGGTTCATTATGAAGGATTTGGTTTCTCTGTAAAAATCAAGTTATGTTTTGTCATGTTTCTGTATTTATAAACGTACAGTAAATCTTCTAAAAATGTAGGTATTTATCTTGAATGTGTTTTCTGATGGCTTGTAAAAAAAAAAAAAGATTGTGTGGAAATGTGGGAGTTGGTAAATTTAATTATTACCAAATTTTAATATTTTTCTCCCCTCACAAACATTGACCTACAGAGTTCATATTCTAACTGCAACTTATTCCTAATGTTAAAACTGTTTCTCAGCATGAGATGTTTCTGCAAGCATAGAAAATCAACATACTTTAATACAAACTCAAAAAAATTCTAATAATCCCTCATCTTGATTGTTTGTATCATATGCTTGGTAACAGGTGATGCAGTTTCCTGAATTATTTCAGGGAGCACATGTTTCTATTCAAATTGAAAAATATGTGTAACTATGATAATGAAGGGAGGTGGAGGGTATGACTATAAATTTGTCGTCTTCTAGAGAAATAACTAAGGGCTAGATAGATTAACCCAGATTGCAGAGCAAATGCTAAATAGTCTGAGTTCCCAATACCTCGATAGATCCTCCTGCCTTGTACAGGACTATTTGTTGTAGGTTATGTACTACTTAATACTGTCATAAAAATGATCTGGAAATGGTTTTATTTTGTGAAGTGAAATATGCTTTGTAATTTATGATAGTGTAAATGGAAGGAAAAATCCCATTAAATGTGTTAAAGAGTTCTGGTGTCTGTCACTCTGACCACATGGCAAGCTGCCAAATGAAAATCAATCGCTAATTACCAGCCTGACATTGCTGGAAACTTTCCTACTTGGAAAACTTAGAATACTGAATGTCAGCAGTTTCAGATTGGCACTTGGATGCCCATACTACCACAGCCGAGCCTATGCACACATTTATTTTCTGCGACCACCCTGAACCACCTCTGTAAAACTTCAAGCGAGCGACAAATTGCAATATCAATCCAGTCAATATCCAAGAATCAATGCCATCATAGCACTTTTCCACTCCCTTGAACGCAGACATTTGACTAACGATGATTTTCTTTATTTTTTCTACTTAGTTCAGTAATGAGTTATTTTTTTAAGGCAGGAACAACATTTTGGTACTGGGTTTTTGAGTTTTGTAGGAAGACAAGCAAGCCATTCTGCTTCTGCTTCTCCCGCTCCCTCTACCATCAGCATACTGGTAGCTTTGACATGTCTCACACTCGAGAGTCTTCAACACGCTTCTCATCCATCCTAAGGATTCAATGACAGTACAAAGCAGCGTGTATAGAAATACCCATGCTTAGTGTCTTTGGAGAGCAGAATTTCTAACCTGTTGGACAGAGGGAAGAGTATGATTTTGTATCTTAAAACACAAATATCTAATGAATTGTTCATGTTTGTCTTGGCTGACTGATTAACCCATGTCCAGCATCCTCAGGGGCGTAAGGAGCATGGAGGTAAAAGGACCCTGTCCGCGCCGTACCTCCTTAGTGCCACCTTGTGCTACACATGCTGCATCATCCTCTTACGTCAGACTTACGGTGGCCATCACCGCTGCACCTGGGGCTGAGCAGCACCTCTGAGATCTGATCGTCTCTGTTCCAGATTCACTATTCAAGGAAATAAACAGCCAGCAGACTTTTCTCTGCAAAACTGACTGCTAAAACAGAAGAAAAAGCGTATTAATCTTTAATGGAAGCCTATACCCCAGTACACAGAAAAAAAAATGGGTCTGACTGGATTACACCAAATCCTTCCCTTTGCTTCAAAGCATTCAGCAAGAGTGTGATGACTTAGCTCACCTGAGGCACTACTAGAGAGTAGTGAGAGCCATTTGAAAGATGCTCCAGGAGGCTGTGTTTGAGCTGATATGACTTCCCTGCTAGGTCATTTCATCTCAAGTGGAATGCAGCTCTGCTCCTCTGGAAGCAGGTGAGATGCCTGTGTCTGACAGCGGCATCGGAGCCCATCTGCAGCCAGATGTTCATCAGGAACCTTCTTCCCCTCCAGCTACTGGAGAAGGCCTTTGGTGGAGTGCTGCGGGTGCAGCAGCTGTCCCCTACTGCAGGCACTCACCCCTGATTCCCATCTGCCATTCAGTTGGCCCCATCTCCTGGTGTGATGGGTGCCACTCTCCACCCCCTTACAGCTGGTCCTTGGAGCTGCCGGGGTGAGACAACTTGCCTCCCGTAAAGCAGGAGCATCTTAGCCACAATTAGGAAAACATTACGTGAAGTTGATGGTTTGTAAGTAGTAACTTTCGTAAGTGCTGTGGAACAGCTGAAATCTCTTCTTTATATCTCTGTGAGTCTCATCGCTGTCAGGTTTAAATATTTTGAGCCTACTGGGGCAACTGAGCGAAGGAATTGTTTCCTGAGAGCACCACGCTGGAGCCGAGGCAGGACGTGCTGTGTCTGACTCCAGAGCACAGGTGTGCTGAGAAGGCAGCTGGTAGGCAAGACCGAACAGGGAACTGTTGAAGGGTTTCCTCAACGGAGGCACCGATTTGGGGCTCCTCTATCCAGAGACCAGCTGCTGTGAAACTTCATTCTCTCTCTCCCACTGTCAAATACCATTGGAATTGGACAAATGATGTAGAAGTTACTGAGGAAGGAGAAGAATTTGAAAAAAAAGGGAAACAAAGAGCGTAAGTGCAGACAGTGTTTCCTTGGGAAAACTTTTTTGAAATGAAGTTACAAAGGAGACAGAGATCTGCTCTCAACTCACTGCTCTGTGAGCTGATGTCAGTTTAAGCCACAGAACAGGTCTAACAGGGCACAAAACTGGGTGAATCGGTACCACATTCATTTTATTTCTGAGCACTTTCCTATACACTTAACAGTCTTAAAACTCACACAACGTTTGAGCTTAATGAAGGAGACACGGCTGCAGGGGCACTTGGCCTGAGACTCTGGGAAGGAATGTATCAGGTTTGGGATATCTTCTGAAACAAAGGTGCTAGAAAGACCTGAGCTGTGCGTTACTGTCAAATTTAGGATACAGGAGGGAGGAGGGATTGCGCATGTAGTACTGGGCAAAACTCTGGTCTTAGTGAGACCTCGGAGAGGTGCCAGGAGTGCCTGGGGTAATATATAGCTGGGGTGAAGGAAGGCTTAAAGTCACATTGCGAGGAGGTGAAAGTGAAGGTAGGTACTGAGAGCGGTTAGAAGAGCACATGGAGCAACCGTGTCTTGTATGATAAGCTCAAGCACTGCAGAGCGCAGACCTGTACGAATGAGGCACTGCGAGATGATTAACTGTGTTTGCACAGGGCCCTGCCTGGACTCACACATCAGGAGGGAGAGCGTTTTCCTAGCCCAGCTAGGCTCCCCCTCCCTCCCACCTGGGGATGGAGATTGCCAACAGCCTCTTCTGCCCTACCGTCAGCCGCTGCCCGGATCACGTTCCCCGACGCCGGGTACAGACAGGGCAAAGGCAGCCTGCTCCCCTCATCCTGCTAACAGCTGGGTAGGTCCTGCCCTGCTCTCTGAGAAGAGGCCAGAGAGGGTAGAAGAGGAGACGGCTCGGAGGAAGACTCACAGAAGGGTCCACGAGTGGGCACTTCTCCAGCTGTTCAAGCTCCCCAGAGTGGCAGCAGCTGGAGAGGCTACGACATTTTCCCTCGATGCGGCACTCTCCCAAAACCTAGCTCAAAGGACACAAGCTGCAGGAGTCTGTCTGGCCACCTTCTTCTTTCTTGATAAGTACAGAGTCAAGGTCTGCAGAGAAGGGACAAAGAAAATTTGAGTGCCAGCAGAGCCCCCTGACAATAAGCAGGAACTGATGAAAACTCTGAGTAGGAAGGTAATTCACAAACACTTACACAAGGAAAAGAATGCCATCTAACTGGATCTTCAAAGCAGAATTATATTGCTACATCCCCTACAGCTATCTAAAGGGAATGAAGACACTATAGGGCTCATGGAGATAAGAGCGAAAGCGTCAATACATTTTATGTTCTTTCGCTGTAGAGATTAATTCCTTGATTAAAGTAAAGATCATAGTTAAGATTCAGAAATCTGAACCTTAGGGAACTATGATTATTGCTGAATGCTCTAGGGCTTGCAGA